ATTCGGAAAGTTGGTAATTGCTTTACAATGGATTTATTTTAAAAATCATCCGATTCTATATTTTCAACAAATGCATGTGAATTTCGAATTTAGCTCTCATTTCTACTCATAAGTGAAACCAATCGAAAACTCCATTGGATTGGCGAAGAAGTGGAGAAAAGAAAATACTTTTACATAAAATAAACTACCTACAGTACAGGCTTCAAAGAATATTTTCTGCAAATAGATTTTTCATCCATAAAATTGTAATAACGGATATTATATTTCTTCTAAAATTTGCAATAAAATCTTCTTCTTGCTTCTCGGGAAATGAAATGAAGCAAGTAAAGCTTAAATTATTAGGGAGGAAAGCATTAAAATAAAATAAAAATATCATCATAGGAAATATCAAACATTTTCAACAGAATAGACGTAAAAAAATGCGACTTTTCCAAAAACTATTCAAAAAACAGGGTGTTCCATTTTCATCTATGGCGTACCTTTTTAACTCTTTGGTTTTTGGTTGAAATGATTTTCGACAACGAATCCCACAATGTAGCCCAAATGGAAGAAGAAAACGAGGAAGACCTAGAAAAAGCTGCAGAGTAAGCGTATAGATAATGAAATACGCAACAGAGGCCCAGATGAAGATTTAAGGGGAAATAGAAACAAGTGGAGATGGGAATCGGAATGGGGAGAACATTGTGAAGCCCATTTAAATAATATACATACAAATAAATTTAAATGTAGATGTAGAGCTGGATTGCTCAATAGACACTTGGTTTTTTGGATAATATTCCGGACATCAAAAAGAGCTCCAAATTTAAATAAACTGTTGTTTGTTCGATATTTCTAAACTTTATTTCTCAATTCATCTACGGCTTATCACTGCTTTAAATTTGCTTTCAACACTATACCTGTAAACAGAGAGCGTTCATTTTAAAATATGACTGAGGTTGAAGTAGGTATATGACACAGGAGAAAAGTCACAGTATTTCCTTCACGAAGTGTTACAAAATTATTTCGGAAAACGTCGAATATGCCGCCATTTTTCGATAGCTCTAGGCATCAATCATTCATCAAAATTCATTAAAATATAAAAAGTGTTGAAGAAAATCCTAAAGATTTCCCCATAGATTTAAAATTGAAAGAAAAATAATATTCTATTTGGAATCAAATGTGAGGTTGGGAGCTAAGTCAATATAAATTAAGTTGGAATGTCGTTTTCCCGTCTGGTCTACCACAGATAATATGTCAAAGTGTTTTTTGTTCACGTTTTTTTCCACAAAAACACCCAGAGTCATGACAGCAGTTGACCTAATGAACACTCTATTTCCATGATGTTCTTTTTACCTCCCTCCCTGCTGCTTATTCAAATATAAAAAAAAAAAAAAACATTTAAAAAATCAAACTATGATTTATTTGAAAACAGCAAATTAACCATTAAGATAAACAAAAACGCCGTCAACGATCCGAAATAGAAAGAAAAATAGGTATAGACATCCTAACTTTGATTTATCGGTGTTAATCTTAATTTATTTAAGTTACTTCGAGTTAACTTGCGAGATAACTTTCAGAATTCTTTGAAACTCATTGTATATGAGAGTTAAATTAAAAAATCGTTAAAGCCAAAACGCATAAACTTGTCATAATGTGATGAACAGGGTGTACGGAAATTTCCATATAAACAAAATAATGACTCCATAAAAATCACAGATAAGCTTTTCTGGGAAGCAATCGGTAATAATTATTATTGGCACTTGCATTTAATTGCTACCTGGTTTTGTTTTGAGAGATAAGAAAAATGAATCAGTTTTAATGGGAAAATAAACCTCAACAAATATTATTGCAAAATAGGTCTTATAGATTTCAATATGTACTTTGTTATAACTTTCTTCAAACATTCAGAGGGTAGGACTTTTGTGCACGATGATATTTTTCAAATAAATACTAACACAATTTTTCCAAACGAGAGATATAATAGGTAGGAAGAAAATCGGAAAAAACATTTTCAGGGGTTTCACAAAAAAAAAAGCAAAAAATCTACTGAATGTTCTGTAACACATTTTTTTTTTTTTCAATTAAATAAATAAAGATATTTCGAAATAAAAAAAGAAACATTCATTAAACAGATAAAACTTGAATAAACCCAGTACCTACATATTCTAGTGAAAAAAAATTGGCAGGCTATAAATATCTAAGTATCGGGTCTTCAAAAAAAAACCCAATCAAAGATTGCTATGGTTTCTCAAACGTATGTCTTAGCAATATTTTTCTTTATTTTGTCAATGAACTTTAATGTCAAAATGTCATGTAAAAAATCCTGACCAATAAAGAAACATTAATACGACGTACGTTTTCGTAATCAAAGCAATCTTCGATTGATTTAGTTAAACCTCTATATGAAAACGGAACTATGTAGAATAATTATCTCTCATTTTGACAATGAACAGGGATTTATCAAAGGTGGCTTGTTAATGCTTCAATCTAAGCACAATGCCGATAATTTCAAGGAATATTTCGAGAAGAAACTGAAATTGATTCCATCAAGCTGTGTTACCGAGTTTGATAATACACTTTATCGGTCAAAAACCACAGTTCGCTCTTAACTAACAAATGCAAAATTGCTCAGATACTATCTTCTACAGCAAATTATTTTTTATCATTATATTAAAAGAGACTTTACGTTCTTAGCCCTCTCTTCTTGTAAGGATTTTTTATTTAAAATTCAATAAATTGGCTATTCCTACCCAGCTAACAATTCCATGTTCTATAAAAGTCCTAAGAACGTTTCCGGAGCAAATTTAATAGAGCAATGTTTGTTCTAAGAACGTTTTCAAAACGTTCTTACAACACCTATACGATAAAAATGGGCACCATTCTATAGAGCTCTTTAGCTCTTTAAGATGTTGTGTAAGGTCTGCAGGGAACACCTATAGAATTGCTGAATAAACGTTCTTAGAAGTCTTAAAGAATTTTTATACAACAGTTACAAAGCATTCTATTAAATATTCCATAGCAGTTCTAAAATGATGTTTTAGAACTCTGTTATAGAACAAATAAAGAACTATTATACATTATTATCGTTTAGCAGCGCAAATCGTTTCGTTATACAATTTTTTTGTTGCATTGTTTTCTATTTAGAGAACTTTGATATCGTTTAATTGCATCTTTTACAAACAAAATGATTCCGTATCGCATCACCGCTGGTACATGCCAGGAATAATGGACTCCATCAAAAAAACAAACTGTATATGAGAGAACTTTTACACTATTATCAACTGCTTAATTAGTTTGTAGAACCAAGGAAGCAGTAAATTTTAATGCGGAAAAAGTTTTATTGTGAAACGTGGTACCATATTATGGTAAATTTTTGATGCGCCCTCAGTTTACCTGATATTTTCTATAATGCAGGATAATTATTTTTTTTTTTTTTTCAAATTGATGAATTTACTTTCCAACTGTTAATGCCATAAGTCAGAAAGTAGATAAAATCCATAATATTGATGCCATTAAAGCTATTTTGACTTTATCAATGTTTAATATGATTTTTTCTGTTTTCTTGACAATATGGCGTCAGAAAGAAAGGCTTTTCTTGTACTTCCAATATGGCTTCTCACTAATATGACATTTTTGTGTCGATTGCAATGACAATAGAGCAAATATCCTCCATAAACAGCTACTATACAGCATCTATCCTATTCAATCTCCACAGTGTTGTCATAATTCACGATAATTCCTGAACCGAAGGTTCAAACTAATTTGTCTCATTTTGTTTTACCTTCCGTTATCTTGAATGTAGTTGAAGTTAAATAATAAATGTTCGTCATTTTTTATGTTATTTTAACTCTTCGAAAATGTCCCTAATTATCTGATATCCTATGTAGTCTTTTTGCTTTTAAATTTTGATTCTAATTCGCTTTTCATTTTATACCTGATGCAGCTTGGTGTAACTTTGGTACCTACAAACAAATAAACAAACAAAGCTATTACCCATTACCCATTACCCTACTGTCATGTATGTTACCTACCTATGTTTTTCAAAGGTGATATTCTCCACATACCAAAAAATCTGGTTCAATAAGTTTTGTAATAGTAGATTATTTAATTAAAGGAAATGGAAATAGGATATTTTTCAATTAAAAATAATAGGATAGTCAAGACAAAATAAAATTATAATTCCGGATATCTCCAGAATTCATCAGTTTCATTACCTACTTTTCTCTAATTTAAACTCACTGCACCCTTTGAAAAGTACCTCTACAGCAGAAGAAACAAGTAGAGTAGTTAGTGTTCTGTGCAGGTAGGTATATTGAAGTGGCAACGCTGTACATCGGTCGACAGTCAGGTCCCAGAGGTCGGTTCATAGAAATTCGTTGAGCGGGAATGGCATTTTCGATATTCAAATATAAGACAATAACCGAACGTTTATAGAACAATTTTGTATTCCGTTGTTCTGTTAGTGTACTGTATAGCAACTTTAATAGAATCTAATGCGATTTAACGTATAATTTTGCCCATTTATACGATATTTCTAAACATAACCTTAAAAGTTATTTTAGATGTTTGCGCGCTGTGTTTAGTTTATATTTAGTTTATGTGATTGTTTATAGCGGATAAATAAATACATACACAAAAATATGTATAAAATAGTCGAGACAATAGAAAGAGGTTCCAAGCAACTAACCATAGTTCCTCAGGCATGGGAAAAACAGGGGGTACTTTTCTGGCCCAAAATGAAAGCCGATATACTTATTAAAATAGGAAACTCTGTACCTGAAGTTTCTTGGTTCCAAATGGTTTGTAAATTGAAAAGAAAAGGACTACAAACATACGAGATTGCTGAAAAAGAACTATCTGATATGCTTATGAAAGAGGATTCGACTGAGGCAGAGGAAGAAGAAGTGCAGCCAAAAAAACGAGTTAGGGTTATGCTCCCAAAGAAAAAAACAGAATATGATTTCAATGAGATGGCAGTGAAGGCTACTGCTGCTTGCATGGTAAGTTTTCACAAGATTATAATGCATGTATCACATAATAATCCTCATATTTCTCAGGCTCCAGCGAGGGCTCCAGATGAACTAGCAACGACTTCCAAGACAGTTCAATACAACAGTGTAAATAATAGTTTGATTGCTGATAGTCTCACTGATAACTCTCCACAAAATATTTTTTATTTAAATGCTGAAAATATTAAAGATATTTATTCAAGTAATGAACCATACATTTCCACTGCTACTGTTGCCACAAGTGACATATCACCGACCGATACGAATACTTTAAATGATAAATTATTAACAAACATTATTGAAAACCAAGGAATAATTATAGAAAACCAAGCAACTTTACTCGAAAGCTTGAAAGGACTTGGAACTAATGATAATCAGCTGATAATCTTGCAGCAGTTATCAAAATTTGAGGCTATGGCAGATGTAATGGCAGAAAAAATGACAAATATGAACAGCATTAATAATTGTTCCTGTAAAAAATCTTCTCAGATAGTCGAAGATATATACATAGACCGCATTGAAGCAGTAGAACAATTTGATGCATTTGAAAGTAAGCTAAAAGACAGAAAAATAATGCAGGAAAATATAGAAAGACTTAGTCAAGTTTGTGGAAAAAAAGGTGATGGCCATGGAGTTAACAACTGTTACATATTAATTGATAGGATGTTCTCCAGAAAATTCATGACCCTGTGCTCGTGGGCTGGTGGCGCAAGAGGAGAACAGGAAAATTGGCTTTTAAGATGTATAAAAACGTTATTTCGCTTTTTTTTAACGTCGTGCATTTATCAGACAAAAGTTTCACACAAAAAGACTGCGATGATTTTATCAAAAATGTCATAAGGAACTCGACCAGGAGAAGCAAAAGCGATCTGTTAAGAACTTCAGCTATTAAAAGAAGGCTCCCTAAGAAACCTGCTTCTGCCTCAGAGGAAATGGAAAAACCACAGGAAAAAGTTGATTCCAATGACATCATTGAAAATGAAATACCTACGTTAGATGACGAAAATGGCATGGAAGAGCAATGTAACTCTGATGCTTTATCCGATAGTCAGGTGATTATATCATTCTATTTTTTTCCATATAAAAGCTATTAATTGTTTTATTTCGAAGGAATGCGACCAATAAGCCAGCCCATTGATTGACGGTTCCAAAGAAGAGAATTTTGTGATTTATTTTTATTTACTGAAGACATGAAAACTGCAGTGTCATGAATAATGAAGTTTATTTTGTTTTTATGTTACATACATATATATGATTTATGTAATGTGAAAGTTTTTTTTATAGGGTTAAAAGACATTTGATTTATATAATATAGGTATTATAATATTCCGTCCAAGTAGTTTGTGTTTTGGGAATCTTATTTTAATAAAATGTTTATTGGGTACTTTTTTCTTAAACTTTATTTCTCTAAACTATGTAACAAAGGAAAGAATACAGTTATTTCTTTATAATCTACGGTAACAACTTTACTCTTAATTTCAGAGATTAAATATAACTTTGAATGATTATGTTCCACTCGGTTTGACTTGAAAATCATGAGGTGAGAAGATTTGATAGGAATATCGAAAACATTCTCTATTTCTTTTATAGAAGAACCACAAATAACTGTCTCTCCGTCGTTACCTAATGATGCGTATTGGAAACTAATAATATTATTGTTCTGAGTTAAAAACCATTTATTTGGGTAATCTGATGACAATGAGAATTCATTAAATTCTATTCTAGAAAAATGTCCCAAGGCATTTCTATTTTTTAATATTGGAAAGCCTCTTGAACATATGGAATTTTTCTCTTTTACGGAATCATTTTCTAACTTGATAAATTCACTCATCCTTTTGGCAACTTGTGCCAGAGGTAAGTTACCATTTCTTAATAATCTTTTTATTTGGTACAGTTTGTTTTCGAAGGGATAAGCATTAAAAGTTAACAGAGTACCGAACTTCCTGACTTCTTCGACCAAATGTGTCAAATTATGAACGTTGCTGGTAATGTAGTCTTCTCCATAAAAATCTCTATAGTATTCTACATAATTATTGAGTAAAGTTTCTGCTAGATCAAGGAAATGTTTATATGAATTGGATGAGCATATAGTTACCCCACAAAAAAAAAGTAGAAAATGTAAGTATACTTCGGGAGCCAACACATCCTTAAGTATTACTATACCTAAATAATACAAAAATGTGCGGTATTCTGAACCTTTCCAGTGACACAACACATCCAAACCACGTACAGATCTATGGAACTCGCGTGGCATTTTACATTTTCCCAAAAATTTCGAAACTGTTTCTATATCTCTGGCGCACCATTTCGTCTTATAACTACCAAAGCTGCCATCTCTCCAGCCCAAACATTTCTTCATGATACCTAAATCCAGTAAATGTAATGAGTCTCCTACAGGAAAGTCTTCAACCATATCTATTGGCAAATGAAGTAAAGGAGAATCCTGTTTATGATGTGATCCATAATTTTGAGCACGGAAATTGTCATTTGTTCTTCTCTCGCAGCCGGCTCTGGGGAAAAACACAGTGTGAGAAGTATGCGAGTACTCACCAACGGTGGTACATTTTATACATCCGTGCTTACTGTTGAAATTTGAGACACCTGCAAAAACAAAGTAAAGTTATAAGTACCTCTACCTATTCTCACTTCGGAAATGTAGATAAGACAATTATGTAATGGATATTCTCCAATTTACCTTTGATGAAGGCTCTGGCTGGTGAATCGCATATAAAACATCTCAACTTGACATCAATAATGACTTCATTTATCAGGAGTCCTTCCAAAAATATTGTTTGGGCTTCACTAACAAAAGGTTGCAGAAATGCTGTTAAACTGGACGGTTTTCCTGCGCCGCAGTATATGCCAATGACCATAGGTTTCACTTCAGGTAGTTCAAAAATATTAAAAAGTATCGGCCAAAATTCCATTCTGCTGCTTTTGTAAATAGGCAACCCATCTATATTTATATTCACACTAATACTCCTGGGTAATTTGAGCATTGGTGATAAGACTAATTGTCTCAAACATACCTCGAAACCATGATGCCAGTAGTCGCCATTTCCAACCTTAATCATAATTACAGTTTGGCAAGTCTTCAAAAGCGTTCTTGGATCTTCAGGAAGAATATCTGGTAAACGTTTGTTGATACTTTTAAATAAGTCCCTCAACGCCGAATGTGAGATGTTGTATTTTACTGCCCATATCCGAAGATCCTTTGTAAATTCTGCATTTTTCTCTGTCTCTGATATTACAAAATCATCTTCGTTATTGTTTTGAAGCTCTATTAGCCAGTCATTTCTTTTTATTATATCTTCGTCATCTTCTTGCTCTTCTAGGTCCAAATCTATTTCATTTTTTTCTTCCTCGCCCACCAATACGGCTCCATCTGTTTGTAATGCTGTCGCCTCCTGGACATCATTTATAGCAGTAGTGTTAGTGTTATTTAAAGATATACTATCGCGACTATCGCGTAACAAGGTTTCGTAGATTTTCTTTGTTTTCCTACGTAACGCTCCACTTTTTTTAACTTTTTTCCATTTATTTAATGGCATTTTCCAAAATAAATGTTGTCCAACACATACACACCAAGAAAATAAACTATTTAAACATATGGCGTCATCAAAGGAGGTATAATAGTTCTATACCGTTTTTGATTGAACAAAAAAGCTTCCATTATCACTTATTTACTCTATAATGATTCTATTATTACCACAATATTATCCTCTATAACAGCTTTAGAGAGCTTTTTTCCCTGAGTTCGTTAGCGGCTCCAATATTGATAATTTTGTACTTCGCAGCAGAATTGTCACTTAGCGACCCCTTACCCAATAGTTCTATTAAAAGAACTATAAGCGACATTATAGAGTCATTCTATAAAAGTTCCACATGGGATAGTTTAATTCTATAGGGCAATACTTGACATCGGTTTCACAGTAATTTGACTCTATAAGCATTCTTGCTGTAAAATTATGTTACTTTGCACTCTTATACAACAACTTTGAAACTTATCTTATATATGCTCTATAATTATGCTCTAAGAACGTTCTTGCAATAAGTTTAAACAACAATTCGGTTTCTTGAGGCAAAATGGGCTTATGTACGACATCAATACAACAATTTAGTGTTCCGGATACAACTATAAAACACTAATAGAACATAAAAGTCCTATTACCCTAAATTTACAGAACTACTTTGCTAGCTGGGTATGATTTCCTGTTTCACGTCATTACAATTATTAAAATAATATCACGGATTTTGCTAGTCAACTTAAAATACTCGTTTAACTTTTATACCAGTTGCAGACGAAGCTGAGATATTTCCTGATTTCGAGTCACATTCCAAATTTTTAATTTCTCTCTAAAACTATCCATTTCTTGGTGGAAGGTGTCAACTTCCCAACGAATAGTTCCAACTGCCTGACGAACACTACCGATTCAATTTCGTATAAATAATAATACTTCTCTTCTACCCGTTGATGTTTTTAAAGAGGTCAAATTGCTAATTTTTGATTCATATAAAATTCTCCCGTTATTTTTGAATTGACAGACATTTTTAAAACGCTGGCTTGGGAATGTTATTTATGACTTTTTTTCCTTATTATTAGTTTACGTACCCAGAGAGCACAGAGACATCTTAAAGACGCCAATAAGATGTCCACAAACGACATTCTTATAGCCGTCTGCTTACGTTTTAAAGGCGTTTTAAAGACCTTTTGAAGACGTGTTTGGGACTAATATTTCATTATTATTACTCAATTTATAACTTCCAATTTTTGGTCTATTCCAAACGCTAGCCTCTTGAATTCTTGATTTCTTTTAAACGAAAACTTACACAAAATTAATTTTGGAAGAAAAACTTTGGAAGATCCAGGAGTAAAAATTTAAAAAACAAATCAAGAGCCTGAAATTCGAAAATACGGGAATAATGAGAATTCAAGAATTTGGAATGAAAAAATTCGACCTAATCTGACAGTAATGACTACCTATTGATTTCTTGTTTAGTTTAGAATTGTTTGATCATCATACTTTTTTTTAAATCTATCGTCGTTTAAATTGATTTATTTCCTACTGAACTATTATGGCCATATAATACTTTGGTTACTATAATCATAAGCAGGGTCTTAACTCCCAAGGGAGTTAAGGATTTCATAACTCTTGCGCGGAAGTTAAGGATATCATAACTCCCAAGGGGGTTAAAGATTTCCATAACTCCCGCTTTTACCTTGAATAGGTAAAACTTTGACAAAAAATAGAAATTTTCGTTTATGGTACAATAAAGTAGCCAAGTTTGAAGTAGTTTTCAGATTCCCATCGGCGAAGATCAATAAGCTGCTCAATTTGTTTTAAAGAGTTTGATAAAACTTTCCGACTTGGACTGAGAACGTATTGCGAACCCAATCAAGGCACTCTTCTCGTTTTGGGAAATATTCTTTGATTGAATCTCGTAGGTTTTTTTTAAATCTTTCATTAACTGCTTGCGGATCCCCAATTGCCCCTTTGCGGAACCCAGTTTGAGAATCACTGCATTAGATAATACGCTTTTTTCTCCAAACGTCAAAAAAACGTCACTTTGTTAACCCCTGTCAAGATGTCAGAAAACTAATTTCTATGCTGCTAGGCAAATCCAGCGGGTCAACACCTGTCGAGGTGGTGGAAATTTAATTTCTATGCTGCTTGGCAACCCCAGCGGCAGCTGAGGTATGGTGGCAAAAAAGCTTTACTTTTTTGTGCTGAAGCGGTAAGTTTGCGGGCCGAACGTAGTGAGGCTTGCAATACTGCTGAAGCTGCTAATACAACAACATACTATCAACAGACTTAAATTTTATAGTGTTGAAAAAGTGTATGTTTTGTATTACAAGTTTCGAAACAAGACTTGGAAAATTTCCAAAAAATATCCATATTGTAGGTACATTTTCAAAAAGTTAAGATGTCCGTATTTCTAACTCTAAAATTTTTCGCATCAAAATGGAGAAACTGTTGAATTGTGTTAAATTTCTTCCTTACAATCCATACTCTTATAATAACTTTTCAACAATTTGAAATGTATTTCAATAATAATGTCATCCTAACTCATTGATCCTAACCATTACCTTCTAAGTTTTGTGTCATTACTCCAATAATCGTGTAGGAATCAACACAAAATATACTCTATGAAAAAAATGGCTCATTCGAAGGCCCCTGGAGCCCGGATTTCAGCTCTCCACCCGACAGCCCTTGGAACACTCTCCAAAGTCTATTGACGGAAGAACAGCAGGAGGAGGAACACGTGGTTCTTATTGAGCAGGAATCAATGGCAGCAGAAGGTATTTACTAATTATCCATTTCCAATAAG